AATCGGCCGATTCATCGATTTTTAAAATAATCGTTAGTTGCAGCCCTACTCTTAACCAATGATTGTTGGCTAATGTCGATGCAGGCGAATTGAAATGCATCTTTGTTCCTCCCTCCAGAGGAAAGCCCGCCCCCAGAAATGAAGGGGATTTGATCTGTAAAATGCTATTTGAAAAGAATACAATTCGTAAAATTTAACCTGAAAAGCAGAAACAAAATGATTATATAAAATCAGTAAAACGTTTTTGAAAAAATACAATTTGGAGAAATAGAATTTGCATGTTTGCAAAACAAAAACAAGGCTTTGTCGGGCTACTGTAAAAAAAAAAAACCCTTGAACTCAACGCCATTCCTGACATTTTGAATTGAAAAAGCTTCCTGGATGGGAAGCGAAACGTCTTCAAACTTGGAAACAAAGTCCAGTGGATTGTTTTTTCATTTTCTTTTTTTGGAACAACTGTGAACTGGATGAAGAAATAGAATTTGAAGAAAGATAAAATCTGTGAAAAAGAACAAAGTTGTTCTCAAAAATTTTTTTGGAGTAAAACATCTTTCCATTTTCCTTTTAGAAAACATTGTTGGGCATTTTGAGGTGAAGTGTGGAGCGACGTTTTGCAGCAGTGCATCAACATCAAACCAGCTGTACAAATGTTTCCTATATATTTGAGGAGTCCTACCTTCACTGAGATCTCAGGTAAATAGTGAGGATTGCGTAACTTTGTGGTGATATAGAAGCGGAAATCAGCAGCATACTCTATAGTTTTATCTCCCAGTCGGATGCACAGAGTCCCGCCCTGTTTGAAGGTCTTTTTGAGCAGGAGAGGCTCCAGGATGGGGTCCAGTTCTTCACCAACGTTCTCCAGCAGCACTGAAAGACAAAGATTCCTTTATGTTCACAGTTGTCAGGGGCTGCCACCCTCAAAATGGTGCCGTTGCACAATTTCAAATTGTTCCAGCCTGTGCAGTCAGACGGCGGGTAACAACAGCCTTTTTTTTCCCAACATCTCATTATTTTACTGGTTACCAAATATATTTTTAAACAGTATGAGTCCAGGATTTATGTTGCTGCCACAGCTTTTGAAATTCTGTTCAATCTAAAAAAGCGAATCAAGAATATTTTGAAAAAGTTTGATATTTTTCAATCACTCTAGGAAGTGAGACTGATGTATTAAATAGTTTTATTAGACAAAGGGCATAATTTAAAGAATCCAAACCAGGAACCTTAACTTGCATGGAAAAAAGTGCATGCAATCAGTGGGCAGGTTGTGGGTTATCTCCAGATATCTTCACATGGACACAGACTTCCCTTTCATCATCTGTTATTAAATCAATGCCTCCTTTATGGCCGCAATGACAACAGAACCGTTAACGCGCAATTTTGCGACTGACTTTAAAATAATAATAATAATTGAACTTTATTGATCTCATATTGGAGAAATTTCCAATTTTTAAGATGAACCATAACATTAAGCTGGTTTCAACAGCCGTTAAGGTATTCCAATCAAATTTAAAATGCAGAGAAGTTACATTTATTGCATAAGAAGTAGTGATATTTCTATTTATTTATTTTTTTCAAATTGTTTTTATTGAAGCAAATGGTAAGACAATCACAATAAGGAATACAATTCGCTTTTTTTTTTTGGATAAACATATTTATGCAGGTATAACTTCTAAGGCCCCGTCCACACGGAGTCAAACGAACACGAAACGCTAATATTTTCCAGAACGTTTGTCGTAAAGACGGAGACGTAAAATAAATGTGATCGTCCACACGAATGCATGAAAACGCTGCAAAATGTATGCCAGGCCTGTAAGTGGCGCTGTGGTGCCAAAGCAAAAATAGGCGACGAAATGTTGGGCATGCGCACTAATATTTATACATGGTTGCCCTGCGGGTCCATTTTCGTGGTTCAGTCAAATTCAGGTGCTGAACTATGTCGTCTATATTGCTCTGTTCTTCCTGGAGATATTCCAGAAGAAGAAGATTCTGTTGTAAGCCCGACAGCAGGGTGAGTAGCATTAGCAGCAACGGCGCCATTGTTGTTGTGATACTGTGTCGCGCATGCGTGTTTAGAGGCGACGCTATGACGCATGCGTGTAAGAAAAAAATGCGGTTAGAGCTTAAAGATGGAAACGCGAAAACGGCGTTTCAAAATCTTCCCACTCTGAAGGCTGAATAAAAAAAAGATCGTTTACAGACCCCCGAAACGCCGGCTTCGTATGGATGAGAGGCTGGTTTGGTGAAAAATTTGTGCGTTTAGGCCAGGGTTTGACTTTGTGTGGACGGGGCCTAATATATACACATACAGTACAAATGTTGAAATAGTCACACCTACTAGATATACAATAAAAACAAAACAAAATAAGAACAATAAAAGAAGAGAACAAAACACCCCATTCCCACCCTGTCTCAGCCCAACATGTTCAGCAGAGAAATAAAATAGATAATAATAATAGGAAAAAAAAAAAAAACATCAGCCAAATGCAGCAACAGGCACATATGTTTAGTTAGGTAGGAGCTTCAAATTTGAAAAATAAGAAAGAAAACTCTGCCATCTTTGGAAAAAATTGTCTGTACATCCTCTCATTGTATATTTAATTTTCTCAAGTTTGAGGAAAAACTCCATGTCCTTAAAGGAATAGTACACCCAAAACATGATTAGCCTTCATTTTCTACTCACCCCCATGCTGAACAACACTCTGGAGT